ACTTTCCATATCAGGAGGTTTATCCGGGAGTTCAAACTTATTTTTAGCTGCACTCATTATTCAATTGTCAATTATCAAAGTCAAATAAAAGAATATTCAATTTCAGTACAACATTTTAATCACTATTTATTTAAACTCATTTAACAATATTAAAACATGTGATAATTAATCTTCACAAATAAACCATAGAACAGAAATATAAAGATTAATCAATGGTCATGCATATATATGAAATTAGTCATTAACATCTTTCCCCTCCTCAGGTAGAATGGCAATTTCTGTCATCGGACGCCGAAAAGTACCTTTTGGTGTTGTGACGTCAACAACTCTTACTTGTCCATCTCAACTGCGGTAGTGGGGTATAGAACAGATATTCTTCCAAGGGGCCAAGTGTTACGTGCATTGTCTTCGTCTACGATTATTGCCAAGTCGTTAACTTCAGGTGGAATAGTTCTTTTGTCTTCATCCATCCAGGCTTTCCACTTCAGACTAAGTTCAGGTGTCACAACATCATCACAACCTAGTTTTGTTCTCCATATATCCTGAACCAGTAGTCTCCCTTTTACTGTGGTAGGGACAATCAGACCTAGAGGATCGAAGATTGACATAGCTGCTTTAAGAATCTCTCGTTTCGTCGGATACTCAGATTAGAGAAATTCAAGTTTTTCGACATTGCGATGGAACACAAAGCAGTCGGATTCAGCGTCCCACCATAATCTAAGTACTCGTTCTGTAGGAAGTCGAGTATCGGGCATCAAGTGTTTGGCTTGGCTGGCTTTCTGGTTTTCAGAAATTTTCGAAAGTACTTGTTTTGAATTAGACATCCAGTTACAAATTTGGAACCCTCCAGCTCTATGTATCTCAATTATTTCTTGAACACGTCATTTAGCTTTCTCTTCTGTGTCGGTCGAATCCAGCAGGTCGTCCATATATGCTTTAGTCAGTATAAAATTACTAGCTTCAGGATACAAAGATTGAAACTGTCTTGCATTGTGGTTTACAACAAACAGTGCAGAGCTTGGTGAACATGTTGCTCCGAAGGTCATCGCTTTCATTATGTAGGTATCTGGGGATTTGATTTTGTCTTTTCGCCACAGAAATCTTTGCGAGTCAACGTCTTCATGTCTTATATTCACCTGGTGAAACATCTCCTTTATATCTCCCACGATAGCAAATTTTCCTAACCGGAATTTCAACAGCACAGATGGCAATGGATTCAAATAGTCAGGGCCACTGAGTAGTGCATCATTGAACGAGACTCCGTGAGATTTAGCAGCATCGAAAACCAATCTTATTTTGTTAGGTTTGTTCGGGTTTGATACTCCAAAGTGGGGTAGATAGAATGTCCGACTTGTTATGATGGCAACTTTTTCAGGGCTGAGTTTTCTAATATATCCTTTTTCAATATATTCGTCAATCTTGGTTGTGTAAGCCTCTTTAAATTCCTGATATTTTTCCATTTTCGTTTCAAGAGTATTTAATCTTCTCAGAGCATTGTCTTAGCTTGGAGGAAAATTAAATTCGTCATCTTTCCATAAAAGACCAACTTTGTAACGATCTCCTGTTTTCTTTATGGTATCCTCAAGGATTGATACTCCACGTTCTTCTTCTTTTGACAATTTCAGGTTATATGATTAGTTTCTCCATATTTCTCTAATTCAAAGGATTTCTTTACCATGTCATGAAGCGAAGATTCTTCATATGAGAGTAGGGTAAAATTCTCATCCACACGATCTCTGAATTGTGCACACTTCCCATGTAGAGTCCAACCAAGAAGGCACCATGACAGTACTGGGGCGTTAGTAGGACCTTCAATAATCTTACGGGTTAGAATTAGGTTACAATTGTCTTGGCCTATCAAGAGAGTGGGCCTGACACTCGCTAATGGAAGAGGTCAGTTGATCGAGTCTAGGTGAGGCCAGTTCTTCCTCAATTTGACACTGTCTATTATTGTTGGTGTGGTAAGTCTAAAGTGGATTGAGTTCTAACCCCTTTCAATGTAAAGATTTCATCCTCGTAAAATCCTTTTATTTTTAGATCTATTCTCTTTGATTGAGATTCAAAGTGTCTTGAGTTGTTAGACCAACATGTTGTCAAAGGAACAATCTCACCCTTAATACCAAGTTCATCAGCAATTGATGAATCCAGAAGTGATACAGTCGAGCCGTCGTCTAAAAGGGCATAAGTATCTACCTGGGACTTGGGACCGTACAACGTGACAGGACAAACACGAAGCAAAACACGGTTTGATGTGTTATCTTCAAAATGATAACCGATTACTTCATCTCTAAATTTTAAATCTCCCTCATTTCTTATCATTGGAGGTCGTTCAAGATTGGAGTTATGTAAGAGACGGTGATGGTACAGCTTACAACCGTTTATACTACAAGCTCTTTTAGATTTACAAAATTTAAGTTGATGTCGTTTGAAACATGAAAAGCATAGCTTTTTCTAACCTACCATTTTCCACCTTTCGGAAATATCAGCTTTCCGAAGTATAGAGCATTTGTCATTATCGTGCTTACCACCACAGAACACGCAGGTAGGTGGGCCAACTGCGGGAACTGCTGCTTTTGAAGAGTTGGTCAACACAGGTTTGAAGTCATTTTTCTTTCTACTCGGGACTTCATTGTTTGGATGAAAATCGATACTCATGATAGAACATTGTCTCTCTAACCAATCTGGAAAATCACTTAGGCTAGGTCTAGTTAAACACATACTGTTCACATGTTGAGCGCAATGGTACTTCATTTGATAAGGCAATTTTCCTAACAGTTCACTGAGTAGTTGAGGGTTTGTCATGTAGCACTCCATATGAAGGGACTCAGCTGTAGAGGTAAAGTTAAGAATGGTTGTAGAAAATTCTATGAGGCCAACAATATCGTCTTCTGTTACAGGGGCTAGCATTCTAGTTTGGTTCATCATAGACTCAATGATAAACTCGGGTTTACCGAAACGCATCTGTAACGTTTTCATTATGGCATGCAAGTTTTTACTGGAAACAAAAAGAGGTTTAAGACAGTTTCTAAGTCTAGCTAGATTGTCATCATCAGATTACAATTTTACGGTATTTTCAAATGCAGAAAAGAACATAGGCCACTCATCTGGTCTTTTACTAAATTTGGTAGTTGTTGGCGGCAAAGAGAGGTTGGTTGAATAACTTTTTTGACTGAATCTGCTAGTAATTGTGCAGCCGTGGTCATAGCGGTTGATGAACACTGATGAACTGTCGGTTCATTATCATTCAGCCACTTTACGACTTTACTCTCAGATTCTCTCTCCTCTCTCTGAGATATTAAGCTTTGACTTATGCTTACCTCAGATCCGCAGACTTGACTACCATTTGCCGATAGTGATTTCATAGAAGCCCTTATTTCCAGCATTTGTTTACGTCGCTCTAGCTCCCTCACGTCTCTCAGCCGTTGTTGCTCCATTTCCTTCTCCATACGTTGTCGCTCCATTTCCTTCTCCAGCTCCAGTCTTTGTAGCTCCATCTCCTTCTCCTCCATCAGTCTTTGTCTTTCCAACTCCTTTTCTTCATTTTCTCGTTCCAGTTTTTGTATTTCCTCCAACTTTTCAAGTTCTATTTCCATTTGTCTCCTGCTGCTTGATGTTGCTGATTTACTTTTTGTTTTCCTTGAACTACTAGAAGTAATGCTGGTTTGTCTCAATGTTACTCCTTGATTGTCATTGTTTCCATTCTCAGAAACATTCTTTGATAATTTGTCAGTATCATTGGGGTATACCTTTTTTGAGGTTTAACTTCCCTATTACTTTTTCTGTAAGACACTATTCTTTTTTAGTTTCAGCACCAATATTAAATTGTCAATTATCAAAGTCAAAGAAAAGAATAGTCAATTTCAGTACAACATTTTAATCACTATTTATTTACTCATTTAACAATATTAAAACATGTGATAATTAATCTTCACAAATAAACCATACAACAGAAATATAAAGATTAATCAATGGTCATACATATATATGAAATTAGTCATTAACACTCATGACATACTTCACTTGTAACTGGATTTCAATCTGAAAGTTTCCAATCTGTCCAATAATGCTGTTCTTCCAATTTATCAATAACAAATTTCAATGGATCCATTGTGAATTTCACAATTTTAATTCCAAAATCGAACTTACTGACAATGTCAAGCAATTTAAGTGTATATCCTCAGTGGTGCTCACAAGGGGGGTTGGATGTCGCAAGTTGCGACATCAGATTTTTTGGGGGGATTTTATGATTTTTGGGGGATTCAAGCCAGGTCGTTTTGTTCTTGGGATGTCTATAGAAGCACATAAAAGATTTATCAGACAATTTTTACCAATTCCTTGATTTATTACTGGGGTAAAAAGGCCTATGCAATCAAAATCCCATTTGACATTTTATCTTTATAAATAACTAATTTTATATTGGCTATAAAATATATAAATACATTTGGATTTTCAGTTTCTGACTCGTATCATGTTTGACAATGAGAACAACTCCATGTCAACTACTGTCAAAGGATTACGGCTTGCTTATTAAATTTTATCTGCAATTTGAGTTTGTTTTTACCGTTCATTATGAAATCATTCTCAAATAATCTCATTGTCTTTTAGGACCTATATATTGTTGGTTGTTTAGGTTTGTTTAGAAACCAGTATTATGATAATCATTTTGCAATTTTTACAACATGAACAACAACATGTAAGCTTGTGATGTCCCTCAAGGTTTTAAGAAACCTTGTAAAAAAATGTAAATATGTAAATAGTTCAGTTAAGTGTATGATGACTACGTACCCGGCGATGGAGTTATCTTTGAAACGGCCTTAGTGCTCAATTAACAGGATTGCGAAGACTGTAAGTAGCCTTTATACATTCATTACAAGCAATCTGACACACTGAATAACTTTTTCCCCATATAGGTACTAAGTAGAGAGAAAGTACTCGTATGAAGTGGTTGTACGTGGTGTAATTTTAAAGTGACTTATTTTAAGTTTATTATGGTTTTGCAGAGACCATGGTGGTGATAAAGCCCAAAAGTCTCCAATTGCAGGGTTTTCTAAATTTGAAGAGAAAAAACGCCAGCAGACAGACAAGAAGAAAACACTTCTTAAGTTAAATGTGTTCAGAAAATCAACTGCTTCTAAAGGTAATCGTCTTCATTTTTTCTAGTGAACTACCGTACAATTAAATATCAATTTACTGATAGTCGAATTCTAATCAAGAACGTTTATTGTGCTTTACATACATTACATAGCCAAAATATTATATTTGTCAACAGTGATTGCAATATGTAAAATTTTATATCAGTACACTGTATATTCAGAGTTTTAAAAATGCATTATGATTTTAACTCTGAAATGTTTCTATTATTATTTGGACTTTTTCAATGTTCCTTGTGTTTAAATCTATATACAACATCGACATTTCTGGAGGTATATCAACTCCTCCCTTTTTCAAGTGAAATGACCAATTACTACATAAATTATTAGCCCTTAAAAGGGTAGGCCAGTCACAAAAATGCTTATTAAAAAAAAAAACTATTTAGAACATATAATACATTGTATAAAGTGCAGTCCGGCTAATCCGAACTAATTGGGACCGAACCCCATTCGGATTAGCCGAAATAACGTAGATGATCAAGATGGAAGCAATTTTATGGGGTCGTAGTGTCGTAATATGGACGAGCAATACACAAACACCAATATTAATAGTCCATTTATTACAACAAAATTAAAAAACAAAAGTTAAATAAGCGCATTAGTTAATAAACTTAGCGTATCAACAATCAACTGAATCAACTAGCGTAGAGCGATATGAACGGGTGGGCAGACGTGTATGATGTGACGATAATGCGTGCGGACTGTACGTCTGCACGCACTGCTTACCGAGACTGTACAGTAGCCTACACGTCTGCCCCCTCCCCTCACCAATACATCTGCTTAATTGTCAGAATCGCAACACAACAACACCTTGATCTAGTCTGCTTTTGTTTACGTAGTGCAGTCAGTCACCTGTGGATTTGCGTTTGTACCGGTTTTTAGTGTGATAGAAAGTGCAATGTCTATTAAACGTAAATATAACACTTTGACTCTTAAAGATAAGCTGGAAACTTTAAAACGTTTAGATAGTGGTGAAAGTGTGACTAAACTAGCGAAAGAGCTAAACGTTGGCAAAGCTACAATTTGCGACTGGAAAAAAAACCGTGCGAAACTTCAACAATATTGCATATTGTAGTGTCACGCGTCGATTTTTCGACGCACGAACATCGTTTACGGCGAAGGCTCTATGACTGACTGAATCGGATTGAACTGGATCGAGTTAGGTATCGTTCTTTTCGTTATATTCTACGCTTTCTCCAGAGGTCTGTCTCTAAGCGCTTTATGTTCTCCGAGCCGATCGTAATTGTAGCAGACAGCTGACGTGCGTACTATAGTAAACAGCTAGGTTACCCTCGGACCGATGACTGATGTGTTTTATTACGTTTATCATTGTTTTAGTGTTAAAAATCAAAAGTAGTGATATACGTGGTGCATTATAAGAAGATTTAAGTGATTTTGAAGGGCTGGTTGATGATCCTGAAGAAGTAGGTAGTGATATTGATGTAAATTATCAGCCAGATTCCTAGCTATGGTTAGGCTATGCATTCTTAGCTAAACGCTTGTAATATTACATGTCATTCATTCATCATTAACATTAATTTCTCTATTATTTTATATATTTTCTCTCATAATGTCTGTTAATGCCCCTGATAATGTGTTATTAGTTATTTAATTTGTTCCCTTTGTTAATGTGTTATTTTATCCAATTTTGTTCAATGTTATATAATATCTCATCACCCCACAGAAACATCATCCTATTTTATGTTACAATATAATATTTATGCAAATTCTCTCTATACATATTAAGTACTCATCAAAAACCAACAATAATCATTTATTTAGAGTAATATATAATTGTAAGAAAATTGCAATATATTAATAACATCTTAAATATAGTATCACTTTTCAAAATTATCCAAAGAAAATCAAAATTACTGTGGCAAGTGTCATTCATGTGAATTAACCAGCAGCTGTATATCACTTCAACAATGGACATGGACTTCCTGAGCTTCTACCATTGCCTCTGCCCAGATCCTGCCAACTCTTCACAGTGTGAACATCATTTTATTGGACATTGTGTTTCATTTAAATTAAATTCATAATCCCAAAGTATAACCTAAATTTTAAATTTCTTATCATCCAAAAGTATTGGACAAGTGCCTTGAAGAGTTAGTACCAATTTATAAGAAGACAGACACTACAGATTTGGTAACCATCATCCATCTTATTTAACTAAGGACAAATTTAATATTCATTGGACATTTAATCAGCATAGCCTAATAGGCCCAATTAATTATCTTAACTCATCAAGAGATATACATACTTTAAATTGAACTTTTATTCAAAATTTAATCTTCAAATTCTATTTTATTTCATTAAATTCAGTGAAACCATTTGGAATCTTTCTTTGGACATTTAACATTATTATATTAATAGCATCATGAACCTAGCTTAACTTATTTCAGAACAATAACTAAATTAAATTATCTACATTTTAAAGAAGCCTAATATATCATTCGAACCGGCACGACCACCCCTCCCTGAGATTAAGAGGTCATCTATTTGAATATTAATTAGTACTTAAGAAGAAACCAACCCAATATAGGCCTAAGCCTAGAGAATCTTTTCATCCACTTTGGAACCCCCACCATTTTGAAAATTTACCATTGTTAACTTACCCTGTAGCTAATTCAACCAATAACTTATCTTATATTTGTATTTCATTAATAAATTATATATTGTAACTAACCAAATCTATTTATTCTTAAAATAATTCATAATTATAAGATTAAGACAAAGACTTACCTTATTACACAGAAATAAAAAAACACAAATTAGGAATTATCTTTATTAGAAAGAAATGACTTTGAGTTCAATGTGGGCTAACTTAGTAGCCAAAGGAATTTTGTAGGCCTAAGTTAATGAATAGCCTATAGAAAGCTTTATGGTGCGTAGCACGCTATGTACTGAAATCTGTTTTTTGCCCATAACTTATTTATTTGCAAATCTACTTCCTTATATTATTATATATTTGTAATCCTCATAAAATTTAGAACAAAGTGGCAATCAAATATTTATAGGCCTATAATTTAAACAATTTCATTGAGCGCAAACTTATTTTTTTTTTTGTAATTTTCCAAAATATTTTTTTTTTACCAAAAAAATTTTTTTGAAACAAATGTTCCTTATGTTTTATGTATAATATTGAAGCCCATGATTTTCCAAACAAAATGGTATATAGAACAGTAGAATTAACATTGTTTTAAGCTTCTCAGATCCGTTTTAATAAAACCTTGCAAATGCGCCAAAAATAGGCGGACATTAAGGCCTAAACTATGGACACTCGGAGGGTTAAACCTTTGGAGTAATTTAAATTATTTATTAAAAATAACATCAACAAAAGCAAACAAAGACAAACAACAAACTATTTTCTACACAAAAGATATGTTGTACTGGGCTATATATCTGATATATGTATTAGATTTATTTAAGTTTTTTAAGTTTGTTTATACTGTATTCCAATAGTTTGTTTTACATTTGAGCTGTTCAGGGACTTATGTCCCTTCAAGCCACTAGTTAACATTAATTTCTCTATTATTTTGTGTGTTTTCTCCTATAATGTCTGTTAATGCCCCTGATAATGTGTTATCAGTTATTTAATATGTTTCTCCTTGTTAATATGTATTATTTATCCAATTTTGTTCAATGTTACATAATATCCCATCACCCCACAGAAATATCATCCTATTTTATGTTAAAATATAATATTTATGTCAATTCTCAATATATCTATCCTGTACTTATCAAAAACCAACAATAATCAAATTTACTTAGAATAATTGAAAACATTATAAAAACATTAGTACCCTTTTAAATTCATTATTAATTAATAAACGACATGTTTCGACACTTAGGTCATAGTCATGTTTACATTTACAAATACAATAACAAAAATAATGAAAGGAATAAATAGTCATATGTTAAGTTAACTTAGAATTTAGAGGATCTTGATTTAATCTTTGTTTAATTTTGCGTATATTATATAATATTTCAGATTTATTGCAACTGTAGGATTTTTTCAAATATCGGATTTGTTTTATTTATGTTCATGGTATTCAATAAATTTTGAGGGTATTTTTTGTAATTTGTGTATATATGAAAATCTTCTTTGACATTTAATTTTGTTTTATTTCTTTCATATTCTAGAATTTCTAAATTTTCATTTATATTTTTGTACTCATGTCGAGTTTCGATTAGGTGCTCTGCAAAATTTGATTTCATTGTAGTTTTGTTACCTGATTTTAACGCTTGTATATGTTCCTGGAACCTTTTCTTAAAGCTACGACTTGTTTGGCCAATGTAGGATTTGTTGCAGTCTGAACATTTAATTTGATAAATGCCTGATTTGTTTATATCTTTAACTTGGTTGTTATGTACTTCATTAGAAATTTTGTTTTTTATCATCTGTTTTTTATCCCTACATTACGAGCACAACCAAAAACACACAAACAAGACATTCCAATTAGACCAATAGTCAATTTTCGACAAGCCCCTACTTACAATTTATGTAAATATTTGCACAGTAAAATAAAACGCAATATACATTTTAACAACACTGTCAATGTATCTAATACATATGAATTGATAGACAAAATTAAAGATATAAATATACCACAGAATTCATTGTTTCTTTCATTTGATGTAAATGACATGTATACAAACATACCTATAGATGAAGAAACCATTGAGATACTCGAACAGCAATTAATCGACCATGGAACACTAACAAGACCTCAAATTAATGACGTAATCAAACTAACAAAAGTTACACTAAACCAAAACTATTTTCAATACAACAATTCATTTTACATACAAGAAGACGGTTTACCCATGGGCTCTCCCCTCTCTGGACTTTTAGCAGATATTTACATGAACAACCAAAATTTTAAACGAAACAAATCCTTACAAATCAAAATTATTATATTGGTACCGATATGTTGATGACATTCTATGCCTATTTGAAGGCACTCAAATTGAAGCAGAAGAA